TGACAGGGACAGGAACGTGATCCCGATCTGTCCCCGCACAGCGGCACCGCATACCCAGGGCCACCCTGCTCCGGAGCTGCGCGCCCTGGTGTCCCCATAGAGCATCCCACGCACGGCCAGCACACAGCCGGGTCCTGGGAATGCCAGCACTCCCTGCCAGCTCCTGCCATCAGCTCGGGGCGTTGGGTATTTAAGGAAGGAGGGATGTGGGATCACATCTCCATACGGTGCCGGCGCAGCGGGGACATCCCACGCGGGCGCGCAGCCCTGCACCTGGCCGTGTTTATCCCATCAGCCGCTCGGAAAGCGCCCGCCAAGCGCGGCTGCTTTTCTTGGCGCCGGCGCGCGGGTTCCCGGCGCTGAGCTTTTTTCCAGGCTGCTTTTCCGCGCCGGCCCCGCGCTCACGGCAAAGGCATCCGCATCTGCCCGCGCTCCGGTTACAGCCCGCGCCGGCCCGGCCTCGGCCGTCCCGCATAAAGCGGCTCTGTGCGGCCGGGCTGTTTGCCGGGATCCCTATGGAAACGCCGCGCAAACACGGGCAGCTCCGGCGGCCGCCGGCTGAGTCAGCCCGGCCTTTACGAGGTGCCGAGCGCAGGGGAGCTGCAGCCATGCGGGAACCACGCGGATGGATCCGGCCCCACCAACGTCATCGGGGATTCCCAGCGTGCGGAGCTGGGAGCACAAAGCACTCGTATCCCGGCGGCCCTGGATATGCCGGGGTGCAGGAGCAAGGCCACCGCATAGCGATGCAGGAGCTGTCGGCAGGACACATGAGTGGGACAGACGCTGTCACCCACCCGCTCAAGGGGCTCCAGGGGCTCCGTCCTCTGGGCACGGGACTTGGGGACGAGGCGGCGGCACAGGCCCAGGCAGAGCGCGGACACCAGCAGGATGCCGGCGTCGGGCGCCACGAGGCGCACCAAGTTTGGGATGTCGTTGAGGTCCATCCTGGTGGGGACAGCGACAGCAGGGCTCAGGGACGTGCCACCATTGCACAGGATGCAGGGCCACGCGGGTGACATCGGACCATGTCACCCGGCACAGCTCCCAGCCCTGCACTAGTGCACGGAGGCGCCGAGCTCAGCAGCATCCCAAGGGCAGGGATGCTCCTGCTCCCTGTGCGGCACCGGCGTTGTGGCCACTCCTCCCCTGGTGACGCCGACATGCCGTGCCAGGATCTCCCAGGTGCTGCCTGCGGGGAGCCACAGAGGTGCTGAGCCCCGACGCGCTCGCAGCAGCGATTTCCAGCCACGCTGCTGCCCGCGCGGGCACCGATGCAGCCAGCGCTGCACCGCGGAGCTGCGGCAACGCTCAGCACCCAAGGGATGCACCGCAGCAAACGGCACACGCCCAGAGTCCCCGGGGCAGTGGCCAGGGCTCTTTGCCCGTGGGATGCCCTGCTCGCCCACCCCCTGCGGTGCCCTGTACTCACAGCTGGGCCCCAGCAGCTGGTCGAGGACGGGCAGCGTGTAGAGACATATCTGGAAAACCACGTGGGCCGTGAGGAAGATGACGCTGGTTCCCAGGAGGGCTTTGAGGAGGCGGCCGGTGTGACCTGCAGGAGGGGACAACCCCGGTCACCGAGGACAGGACAGCCCCCGGCGCACCCCACCTAGGGGCATCCCTCCGTGCTGCAATCCTGGGGAAACTGAGGCACGGAGCAGTGCAGGGAGCCGGGAGCATCCCCCTGCTCCAGCACCAGCTGGGGAAGGGGCTGTTTCCCAGACACCGGAGCAGAGAATCCACACGGGATGCTCCGACCGCGGCCGGGAGCTGCCCCCTGC